AAAAACGTGACAAAATAGATTTTTGGACATGTCATAGATGCCATATTAATAAGAATAACCAGATGCAGCATGTCCAAATGTTTTGCATTCGGACAACAAAATTCTTGTCGATTAAAATCCAAAAGAATGTTCTTGAGTAATCTGATACGGCGTTACATCGACAACGACATATGAAGAACACAAAGGGACTCCAATACGATCAAATGACGAGGTTTTGGGCACCTATATTTATTGTAATCGTCTCTAATTTGAAAGATTGAAAGGAATTTAGACACGTTTGGACAGAGACCTTTATTTTGGCGTCTTGTTCATCAGACCTGATAGAAGCTTATTGTGTATTCTTGTCATTGAAAATTTTGAAAAAAGATTTACGACAACTGAAAAGAGGAACGTTGCAAAATAGATTACTATTACTAAAAGCTCAATTATTACGGTTATTATAAATTCGGTAGAAGTAATCTCGATAACTTGAAAGAGAACCAGACAGAATGGATTTTTGGACATGTCACAGATGCCTTGTTAATAAGAATCACCAGATGCAGAAAAATGGAATCATCAGAAACGTGACAAAATTGATTTTTGGACATGTCACAGATGTCAAAATAATAAGAATCACCAGATGCAGCATGTCCAAATGATTTGCATTCGGACAACAAAATTTGTGGTGATTAAAATGGAAAGAAACTCCAAGATAATGTTCTGTTCCAGATGAGTAATGAGATAAATACACTCATAAAGTGTAATAAAATCACTTATAAAGAACCAAATATTGTAGAAAAGCAGGTAAAGGTCAAGCACTTCGATTTATTCTAATTTGAAAGATTGAAAGGAATTTAGACGCGTTTGGAGAGAGCCCTTTGCCTTGGCTCAAATATAACATGAGACCATCAATGTTTCTGTGTTGAGAACAGTAGCCCATCAGAACTCAAATTTGGAATCTACAGATTGGAGTAAAGTGGAAAGTTGCTCCAAAAGAATGTTCTGTTCCAGATGAATAATCTGATAAATAATGACGGCATATAAAGAACCAAATCTAACAGAAAAAAAATCAAAAGACAAGGACTTAGGCACCTCGATTTATTGACGTCAGTATCTGAAACTTGCTTTCAGGTAAAACAGAGCTTTCAAATACTGTTACTAAAAGCTCAATTATGCAAATGACGATTATTATAAATTCGGTAGAAGTAATCTGGACAACTTAAAAAAGAAACGTGACAAAATAGATTTTGGACAAGTCACAGGTGCCATATTAAAAGAATCACCAGATGCAGAAAATGGAATCACCAGAAACGTGACCAAATAGATTTTGGACATGTCAAAGATGTCAAAATAATAAGAATCAACAGATGCAGCATGCCCAAATGTTTTGCATCCGTACAACAAAATCTGATACGTCGTTACATCGACAACGACATACTAAGAACAAAAAGAGACCTCAAAACAATCAGAAGGCAATGACTCTATTAATTCTAATTTGAAAGATCGAAAGGAATTTAGACGCGTTTTGAGAGAGCCCTTTGCCTCGGCATGTGGAAGAAGTGATGTCACTATTTGAAACTCCATCTGAGGTAAAACAGAGCTTTCCAATACTCTTACTAAAAGCTCAATTATGCAAAGGACAGTTATTATAAATTCGGTAGAAGTAATCTTGACAAAAAGCTCGATTATTTCGATTATTATAAATTCGGTAGAAGTAATCTCGACAAAAAGCTTAATTATTACGGTTGAAACTTGAAAGAGAACAAGTGGAAGCTTCAAAGAGAACAAGTGGAAGCGTCAAAGAGAACAAGTGGAAGCTTCAAAGAGAAACATGTCCAAAAATGATTTTTGGACATGTCACAGATGTCAGATAAATAACAATCACCAGGGACAAGAAAATTCGTGGCGATTCAAATCGGAATCTGCAAGTTTTGCACACAGTACATTTCGGAAGGAAAATACCACTCTTCAAGAATGGTTCTTGTAAGTGCTGACAAAACATAAAACAGAGTCAGAAGCCAAATCCACAGTTTTATTATTATCTCAGCATCTGCATTTTGTGGAGCAACAATAGCGCCAAAAGCATAATCCAATGCAAGAGACCGATCACGCCTCAAAGGCTTTACGAAAAATTTTTGGCGATATAAAAATAATATTCAGATTTTCTTTTCTATAATTGAATTTTTGATCAAACCCAGCAGCTTCAAAACGACGAGCCAAATACGAATATTAACATCAAAAATAACTGCAGATTGGAGAAATATAGGTATAAATTCATCAAAATCTATTTATCTATCTTGGGCGCAGATGATAAATTCAGGCAAAAGAACTACCCCATTTTTGAGACCATGGATCAACATGTTTACTGAAGAATATTGGAATGAAAACATTGCAAGGATCCATAACAGACAATGCAAGTTCAAAATGTTTTTTTTTATATATAAATATATATAAATAACTTGTTAACCCATCATAGTTAAGTAAATAAAATTATTACCCGGCGAGTTGCGCAACACGTGTTTCTTTTTGGTTTCATAAAAAATAAAATTTTATAAAATTTCTATAAAATAGCCTCTGGCAAAAATCTCGTTGCCATTTGTCGTAAAACTTATAAACTACGGTATAAAATTTCAGATTATAAAACTAAGTTTTGTCGACGAAACTTGCGTCCGTTCCGTCAGGAGCCTTTGGATTTTTTTTTTATTATCGCGGCCTTTTAAAAAGGCTGAGTCGTTTCTTCGGCGAGTCATTCTGGAAAGAAAGGAATGATTATTTATCATATCTAGTCATAGATATGATGGTCGGTTATATGTTAATATAGGTAAGAGTGTTGTAGTAGAAGGGTGAAAATTGGGGGTTAAAATAATGGAACAATTTAATTTTATCAAGGATTGTCCACTCCTAACACTTTTTTAAGATTATCTTGGATCAATTTGCTTCAAATATTAATTCAATTTTCAATATTTTAATATTGAAAAATACGTGCAAGCTCAAATTTTCACCCTCCTACTGCAAGTAGGTGATATTGATATTTCTAATAAGCGCCCACTACAGACTAATTATTATAATAGAAACGTAATTATAAGGTAACATGTGCAATTTTTATAGTAAGATCTTTCCAAAATGAAAACATAAAAGAAAACTAGATCTAGAAAATTGGGAATTCACTGAAAATAAATGTTTTTTCAAGTATAATTTCTTTAGGCGCGACTAGAGAGTAAATCTGTGCAAATGCAACGGAAGAGAGTTACGGCCAAGTGTATACGGGTCGATTGTGATTAGTCGTCGTGTCATGTGCGAGATTAGATTAGATTAGATTGGATTTAAGGTTACATCGTAGTACAAATCTTGATTTAATAAAAAAAAATTCTGAATCAAAAGAATATTTTACCCCGTCTCCCGTAAATAATTAGAGTGAAAATAATAAAACAGAACATTTGGGCCGCGTAAGAAACGTAAGTATATTGAAATCATTTTTATATTATTCGTAGTTTCTTTAATCTTTGAGGTTATTAAAATAGAAAATATTTTTATAGACAAGACAGATATTACAGATGGTCAAAGAATGAGACTGTAGCGCCAGCGAAAAAGAACAGTTAATGAATGTACACGTTTTACCAATTTGTAGTCTAGGAGTCTAAAGAAGTTTTACTTCAAAATTTGTAAATTGTATCTTATCGCTTGTGGGGTATCATTTAAAAGGTCTCGACAAGTAGAAAACAATTCACCCAAAAACATGACAATATTGTAATAACAATGTAAAACCATATTTTGTTGCAAGAAATTATAGAATGTTGATTTTTTTTAATAATTGAGGTGTAGCAATTACTAAATTGTCGACTAAATACTGATTTATCCTCTAAATATATACTTTTTACGAATTTGTAGCAGAGGAGCCTAAAGAAGTTTAGAAGTTGTTTAACATAATGATTCTATGCATTTTTATAGATATTAAAGAATATTAAAGCAACCCAACTTTATTCTATCTTGCCGAAGATTTAACTTTTTTAGAATTATATTTCAGAATCTTTTGGAAGTTTTGAGGAAGTTTACATATTTTCTTTTAACTACTTAATGCATTCTAGTAGCACCTCTTTCTACTATAGCTCTTGAAAGTAATGAAATTAATGAACAAGGTTAAAGTCAAAATCTTATATTATTTAGTCGAGGGAAAGCTATATCTTGGGCACCTAGTATTAATGAAACTAATCAATTTCCAAAACCGCAAATTAAATTCAAAATTGTTATATGATGCATTTATTTTTACAAATTTATTTTTTAAATGCCATCTTGTACAATAGCAAAAAAGTTTTACTTCAATCGCGTGTGAACCTTACGCGCACTCTTTTTTTAAAATTAGGATAAAAGTTTTAAAATAGACGACTTAAATTTTTTTCAACAATTGCTACATACAGTAATGTTATTTTATTGGATAAAGTTTTATGTAAAAAAATTAAAATAAAAAACAGATACTGCAAGTAACTAAAAAACAAGTTTTCCACATTACAATTATAAATAAAACAGCAAATATTTTTACTCAAACCGTATATTATGTATTAAATTTTAAAAATATATAATATATACATATATACAACAATTACTACATCAATGATCACAATTTTAAAAACAAATATACAGAATCAATACAAATTATGAATGAATGCATCAACAATAAAATGATAGATTATTAAGTATAATTTATAATAAATAAAATTCGTAATAATAATCAAACTCAAAGATTATTATTGCAGTAATAGGTTAAAATTATTTTAAACAGCTACTTTTGGTTGGCACAATATATCACAGTATTTATTCAAATATTTAAATTAAAAGAATTAATTTATACTGGTTTGTAATACAACATATAACCACGCTTATTATAATATAACCAAGAATAATAATTTAATAAAATTTGAATACTGATTTAATTACCAAATTAATCATCACATTATAAAAACACAAAGCAAACTCTTAATTTCTTTCATATCACATGCTCAAAATAGACAAGAAAATTCGTGGCGATTAAAATCGGAATCTGCAAGTTTTTGGAAGTATAATACCACTCTTCAAGAATGGTTCTTGTAAGTGCTGACGAAACATAAAACAGAGTCAGAAGCCGAATCCACAGTTTTATTATTGTCTCGCTATTAACCACTATTATAATAATAATTTAATAATAATTTAAAATCGATTGAAGCTTGATTTAATTAGCAAATTAATCATCATATTATAAAAACACAAAGCAAACTCTTAATTTCTTTCATATCACATTTCACAGAAAACTTGGTGTAAGCCATATGGTGCCATTCCTTTTGCTTATCTCAATCCTTCGTTTGATATTTGTAGTAAACCAGAACCGAAGCAAACACCACTAAAATAACAGCAACCAACATCATCGTCACCATATTCTCCTCAAATAATCGATTTCGTCCACTAAGTACTATCTGCTCCTGTTCGCTGTATGTAATGACCGTCCTGTGACCAGCACTACTCGGCAATGACAACCTCGATCTTCTAATCGAAGGCAGATCGATCACCACATGATTGGGATTGGGACTGGTAAAAGATTGGGCATTTCTAGGAGTCGACGACCTGATGCTTAAAACTTGGCGAACGAGATTTTGCGGAGTTTGGGCATCCGCTGGTGTTTGTTGCTCGATGATAGGGGTCAGAATGAAGTTGGCATTGACGAGGTTTTGGGAATCGTCTGCCTGGATATGCAAAACTTCTGTTGGAGAGTCAACTTTCACACTGCAAGATGCTGTAGGTTTTTCATCATCCAGCACAGTTTTCCTGTCCAACTTTTTCGGCGTCGACGACTGTGCACCAATGCGATTCCTTCTCCTCAAACTCAACTTTGTCTCGAATCCTTCTTTTAATAAATCCACGTAGTATTTTAAATCTTCAGTGAACACTCCAAAGTCGTCCACACCATGCGAGACGTTGTTCGATGCAACCGAAACATCATCATCATCATTATCATCATCGGTGGTACTGGACGAAAAAGAGTCGATGATCGACTTCTTCGGCTCCCTCCAAGATGCAATCGCGCCAGGTTTGGGCGCGGACGCCAAACGCTTCCTTTGCTGGTGTTTTTCGATGCTGGATGAGCCCGAGGAGGTTTCCGAAGCGATCGAGTTGTTACGTAAACAACGAAATGATCTTTTCAATTTCCTACTGATATTCAAACTGATGCGACGACGAGACTTGCGACGGAACTGCGGAAGACGAAAACGAAATGGCGTAAGGCTGAGGTAATAATAACACCGGCCTACAAAAAATTTTTTTTGTTGGGTGCATCAAATGTTAGAGCTGATTCTTATAGTATTTTTTGCGCTGATTTCAAATCTGCAAACCATTTTGTTGTATCAGCTCTAAATTTGAACTTACAAAGAAGTTGCCGAAACCAGGTCCATACTAGGTCGTCACGGAAAAGAACTTTTCACAGTGTCAACTAATGTCCCAACTAAGGTCGAATGGGTCTAGTAAGTTTGTTTGTACGAGTAGGCATATCTCATTAAAATGAAATTCTGAATTGTATTACTATTTTGTACTTTCATTGCTTATATATCATATATATATCATATCTTGAAAACTAAAGCTCATAGAACAAAAAACAATGTCATTTTTGAAACCAGCGCCCTAAATATACTTAAAAACAGCATTAAAATCGTTTGCACCATTTTCTTTGTTGGCCTGTGTAATAAATGGTAGTCTGCTCGAAGGCAGATCCATAGTGTGAGGGCATCAGAAATAATTTCCTTTGCCGCCCTTCCTTATTAACTTTCCGTAGGGTAAGTAATAGTAATCGCAAAAAATCGAAAGTGAAAATTTGTACATAACTTTACTTTGCCGAGGTTTCTGAACATTTTGGCATACCTTAGAAAAAATGGATATATGTGTGTGTTTGTGCGGATACAATTTTTCGTCGACAATTTTGGGCGGATTATTCAACTTGAATGGTTCAAAAAACATTTGATTGATGAGAGGACGTGCTGGCTAGTTTTTGACGAAGACATATTCAGCCGTTTCGAAGATATAGAGCAACTAGTGGTGCATGGCATCGTATCTTAAGGCAAATTGCAGGAAGTTCCCGTACCGAAAACTAAATTATTAAAAAAATTGCAAAACTTTGAATAAAATAAATTTTTGAGAATTTTTGAAAAAAGCTAACCTTTTTGAAAAATTAATGTTTTTTTTATTAATTTGATTTTTTTTGGAATTTTTTAACATTTTTTTTAAGCAATCGCTCTGCATTGCTAGAGTCAAAATATCAAAGCGCATAAGCGCCGCGTAGTTGTCTAGCGCGTACACAATGGTACGGAACCCATATAAATGTACACAAAATTTGTACTTATTATAATCTTTATAAAATATCTGATAATACGATGTGCATATGTCTAAATGTTCATTTTTGACCGCCAAATGACATTATTTTGTACTTTTTTTATTGGATGTCGGGAGACGTTGGACCTGCCTTCACAAAAATTTTACCAATTGTTCATTTCGTCAATACAAGTAAAATGTTTTTTGAATGATTAAAATCGAGCACTCCGTTCTTTCAAAAACTGGATTACCATTTTTGGCACTTTTTGCGCTGTATCTCCGAAACGGCTGGTCCTGCCTTTGCCAAAAACTATTCAGGGCATCTCTCTATCAATAGGAATGGAATGTTTTTTGAATCATTTAAATCGGTTGATCCGTACGCCCGAAAACGTGGACGAAAATTTGTGTCCGCACACACACACACACGCACATACATCAATTTTTTCTAAGGTATGTCAAAACGTTCAGAAACCTCTGAAACGTGAAGATATGTAAAAATGTTAATTTTCGATTTTTTGCGATTACTCTAACTTACCCTACGGGAAGTTAAAAATAATAGACAATGTCCTTCATTTTAAATCTGATTGATTAAGTTTTGTTAATTTTCTTTTTATAAAATAAAAATAATATAAGTTACAGTATTCATAATAATCTATTTGAAAACATTTAATATTCTTCGAATGACGATGCCATACTCCAATAGTTTTGAATTTAATATTAAAAGAGTAAACTGAGTATTTGGAAAATGGATAAGCAAATGACTACACTATTCTAATCATCAGAATGTGTCATTACTTCAACAACTTAGTCGACCACAAGCTATAGATAATTCATTTACAGACATTCTTTAATAAACTGTAAAGGCCTTATCGAATCACAAATGCAACTGCAATGTCTCGCATTGTACTGATGACAGTGACAGTATGGGTACCAACAATGAATTGACATAAAAACCAACAGACTACCAATAACTTGTAGTTTTGTTCAAGGACCATAATAGTATTTAAAACTCTTATATGAACACAATAAATGGCTGGGTGACAATTCTTGAGAAAACACACCTTTTTTTAAGCATGTTGTCACAAAGCATTAGACTGAGGGACCGATTCTGCCACATAACAGAAAAATGTTATGACAAGGTCATTTTATGAACTTTTCATACTAATATTGACAAAAGCAATGCGGTTGGTGTGCAGTCAGACGTATTTCTCAGGTTGTCTGATGAAAAACATAATCTAAAAGCTGCACAATGTTAGATAACAGTGTGTTTCTGACCCAGCTTCATAACATACGAGTGACGTTGCAGTTTATGTGTAAAACTGCCTGAATGAACAGCAAATACATGACATTTTGACAGTATTCAGTATGATTCATTAGCATAATGTATGCAAGTTGCAGTATAACATGGCCTTGCCATAACATTATTCTGTTATGCAGCAAAATAAGTCCCTAATCCTTCTCTTAAAATCAATCATGTGCAATTTCTCCTCCATTTCCATCACAATTCTCTCCTCTATCCCTTATCATAAGTCTCCATCTCAAAAGACAATACCCGACCACTTTCAATAACATTGTATATAACACACGAGACATAAAACCTGTCCTACTACAGTTACATACCTCGTTATTCTGTTGCGTTTTGGATCCCCCAAACATGGCCTTGATTCTGTTTGGTGTGCTGGCTTTTGCTTTCTTAACAGCACCAGTGTTGGTGGATTTATTGTCATTCTTCTCCTTCAAAATGTCTCGGGGAAGATCTGAACTCTACAAAAGAGGAAAAGGATTTAGTAAAAAAATCCAATCTAGTACTAGTATTTAGTATTAGCATCGTGATTGGTGCTCACATGAAGACTGTTTCTGCCACCGATGCTGTTCCTTCCGGCGTGTTTGCTGGGTGTCGGAGGGCCTGGTTTTCGATAGCTGGTGCCCTGGCCGCGATCCTTGTTCCATTTCAGGCCAGATGAGGATAATGTTGATCTTCTGCCGGTTGTTACGTTGTCTGATGGCAGGAGGTGAGTTGCACTCGTGTCCACAGACTAAAAAAAAAGTAAATTAATATAATAAATGAATTTGCTTCTGAGATTCATGTCTTTGGTCTGTCGGTGACAAATTTAAAAAATCAAGCCAGAAAAATTATCCTTAAAAGACTGTCTTAGGTAGTGATTTATAGTTTATTAAACGTTTAATTATATTAGTTTTTATTTAATGTTATATATTTGTAGTTTATATTAAGTGTTATATATATGTGGCGGAATGAAAATGTTATTGACAGATGTCAGTTGATTGACGCCAATGTGATGACTAAACTACACAGCACACTTGGAGCTACGCTGATGCGAATATCGCATCTAGCAAGCTATAGCGAGATTATTGTTTTCACGATCGAAAAATTGTTCTCTCGGTTTTAGTCAGCGATCAATTGTCGGGCTAATAAATTGATATCAAAATTTATATAATATCAGTTTCGTTGTAAATTGAGTTATCAATAAACTCACATTATCATCGAGTCTACAACAGTTAATTGCGGTTTCACTTCTAAATAATAATATTTAATATCGAATGGCCATCAGCGCCATATATATATATACAGAGCTATCTATCTCTTTAGTTTATAATTTGTACACTTTAAAATATAACTGTATTGTATTATTGCCTTGGGCGTTGAATAAATAAATAAATAAATATCCATCATTTATTAGTTTACTCAGTAATTAATTGAATGTGATTTGTTCCAAATGACAATTATATTTCATCCTTACCTTAACCTCATTCTCCCTGAACTCTTCCAGGCCGGTCTCGGTGGCGTAGGAGCTCCTCAGGTGTGGGGGGCACATAGAATTCCTCCATCTCAGCTCCGACAGCCTTTTGAAATTCGACTCGTCCTTATTGTTGGCCAAATTTTCGCAACTCTTGAATGTCGTGCTGGTACCGGGTACTTCGCAACGGCCCGCCTTCAGGTCCATCAGGTAGGTGTTATTGAAGACCTCATCTTCGTCTTCCATAAAGATATTCGAACCTGGGATAATGGAATGAGATAAGAAATTAATTACACTAGCAATGAGAAAAATTCTATATGAGCAGCAATACAGGAAAATGTTCAAACAAGTTATTTATAATTATTATTTATTATTGGTTATTGTTTTTATTATTAATACTATGATTTTAATTATTCTTTATTCATTAATTTATTCTATTTCTTTTCTTGAATTCCTTGTTCTATTTTTTTTTTCTTTCAATACCATAAGTTTTAACTTATAGATTGTATTGTAATCTGATTGTTAAAATAAGCAAAAAAAATGAGCAGCAATGAGAAAATATTCGAACAAACATTAAGAAATTATTTATACAAAATTAATACAAGCTATGGAAAACTATGTATACGAGTATACAAGCAATAAAAAATCTTTTATCTGAGTATACAATCAATGAGACGTCATTATATGAGCAATGAGAAATAATTTATATGAATAATAAGGAAAAAATCTATACGAGCAGCAGCAATGAGAAAATCATTCTAACGAGCATTGAGAAATTATTTATACAAGATTAATACAAGCTATGAAAAATTATGTACACAAGTATACAAGCAATAAAAAATCATTTATATGATTATACAAGCAATGAGAATTTTTTTATACTTTAAAAATCACTTATGTGAGTATAAGTTTTCCATATGAGCAATGAGAAATAATTTATATAAGCGATTAGAAAAAAACCTATACAAGCAGCAATGAAAAAATATTCAAACGAACAATGAAAAATTATTTATACGAGTATACAAGCAATAAAAAATCATGTATACAAGTGTATGAGCAATGAAAAATTATTCATAGTAGCAATGTAAGAAATATTTATATGAGCAATGAGAATTAAATTATTTGAACAACAAAAAAAAAATCTATACAAGCAGCAATGACAAAAATTCAAACGAGTAATGAGATAATATATATACAAGGAACGAGAAAAATTTTACATATCGAATGTCTTTAGAACATAATTATTTTGTTTCTACCAAAACCAAATAATCAATCAATTGAATAATAAGAACAAATATATATATATGTATAGATGTATAATTTGGTCAAAACTGAAATCTTTCATAACTACTTTTTATGCATACACTCAATTATTAAACGTAGTAAAATAATATGTACACATACCCTAAAGCATTTTAAATCATCACTGCAATTTATAGCAATAGCCTTTTTCATAAAAAATTAACACCAAAAATTAAAACCAATTACTTTTGTTAACATAAATTAGTTAAAAACAAATGAATGAGGTTATGCGCACTTGCCCTGCACAATTCTAAAATCAAGCTTGCTATTGGTCAACGATAAGCGGAACGAACCGAACTGCACGAAGATGACGGAAATTAATTTACATTCTTATTTTTGCTTATAAAACTATATCTTGGGTATTAATTCATCAATTTGTATATAAACTAATTATACACAAACATCTCGTTACACTCGATAAGTAATTCATTCATTTAATATTTAATTTACTTTTGAATAACCTCTCCGACAAAAGCAAGTACAAATCAAACTGTACAAAACTATATAGAGTAGCCCTAATACATATTCATCTACCATTATTAAACACAGTACAATATGATTTATATTACCTAAGGCTTCGTAAATTCCTCATTTTAACTTTTAAGCACCAAAAACTTAAAAATGTTAATCATCAAAAACACAAAACCAATTACTTTTACAAAAACAAATGAATTTGGTTATGCGCATTTGCACTGCACAATTCTTAAATGAAGCTTGCTATTGGTCAACGATACGCGGAACGAACCGAACATGCACGAAGACGACAGAAATTTATTTATATACGTATTTTCGCTTATAAAACTTGATCTTGGGTATTAATACATCAATTTATATAAAAACTAAATAAAAATCTCTTTACACTCGCTAAGTAATTTATTCAACGTTTAATTTACTTTTGAACGAAATAAAACATCTTTGCCAAAAGCAAACACAGATCAAACTGTACAAAACTATTTAGAGAAGCCCTAATACACATTTATCTACCCTTATTAAACACAGTACAATAAAATTTATATTACCTAAGGCTTCGTAAATTCCTCATTTTGATTTTAAGCACCAAAAAAACTTAAAAAATCTACATCGAAAATACAAAATCAATTACTTTTACAAAAACAAATGAATTTGGTTATGCGCACTTGCACCTGCACAATTCTAAAATCAAAGCTTGCTATTGGTCAACGATCAGCGGAACGAACCGAACATGCACGAAGATGACAAATTTATTTACATACTTATTTTTACTTATAAAACTAAATCTTGGGTATTAATACATCAATTTATATATAGAATGATTAAAAATCTCTTTACACTCGCTAAGTAATTTATTCAATGTTTAATTTACTTTTGAACAAAATAAAACATCTCTGCCAAAAGCAAGTACAAATCAAACTGTACAAAACTATTTAGAGTAGCTTTAATACATATTCATCTACCATTATTAAACACAGTACAATATGATTTATATTACCTAAGGCTTCGTAAATTCCTCATTTTAACTTTTAAGCACCAAAAACTTAAAAAAATAATATCGAAAATGCAAGACTAATTACTTTTACAAAAACAAATGAATTAGGTTATGCGCACTTGCACTGCACAATTCTAAAATCAAAGCTTGCTATTGGTCAACGATCAGCGGAACGAACCGAACATATTCGATAACGAACGAAGACGACAGAAATTTGTTAAGTTATTTTTACTTATAAAAATTAAAAGGTTCGATATTAATACATGCATAAGAGTAAATCAATAAGTAATTTATTTCAATTAGTTTTTAATTTATTTTTTGTTTACCTTCAGCCGTAGAGTAAAGCTACTCTAAATTCTGACTTTTCATTTTGAACATATAGGAATAAAATTTACATTACCTAAAGCCGAACGCGTTCAATAACCTACTTTCTAAGCTCCACATTTCAATTTGGAACGCCAAAGACTTTTTTTAAATAACACCAATTAAATTAACACCAATAATTAAAACAAACTACTTTTCACAATTTACGATTATTGTTCATAACAAAAACAAATGAATTAGGTTATGCGCATTTGCACTGCACGTATCCAGAATCCGAGCATGCTATTGGACAACGATACGCGAAAGGAGCCGAACATTTTCGATAACGTACGAAGACGACAGAAATGTATTTACTTATTTTTACTTATAAATAATTAATAGGTTCGATATTAATATTTGTATCTATATAAACTACTAGTAAATCAATAAGCGATTGTTTTAATTAGTGTCTAAATAATTTTTTTAATAACTTTTATGGTGAAGGCAAATATACCACAAATATGAGAACAGATAAGTAAACTACGTAGAGTACCTTTATTTTAGTAATACCTTTATTTTCTTAAACTCCACATTTCAATTTGGAATCCCAAGCAGTTTTTTTTTAAATAACACCAATGAAATTAACATCTACAATTAAAATCAATTACTTTTACAATTTACGATTATTGTTTATACCAAAAACAAATGAATTAGGTTATGCGCACTTGCACTGCACAATTCTAAAATCGAAGCTTGCTATTTGACAATGATACGCGGAACGAGCCGAACATGTTCGATGACGACCGAAAATTGCTTATTTTTGCTTAGTGATTAACGTTTATAGCCAAAACCCAAAATTTAACATTTTTACCATAAATTAGAACAAATTTTAAAATAAATTATGATACTTATAATTGTAATAAATAAAATAAGATAATTATAATTGTATAATTATGTTGTATAAATATAAATATAAATTTAAAGCACTTTGTTTTATATTACTTTGGCTTTAAAAAGATGCTATCAGTACCCTATCAAATATTTTGATAATAGAACAGCTCTATTTATATTAACTGTATACATATTGCTTTTAACGCGATGGTTTCATAAAGACTTAAAAATAAAAACTATTAATGAAATGATAAAAAAGGTGCAAAAAATACCACGAGAAATTTCCAGGTCACCCGAACAAATATTTAAAAGAATCAAGCGAGAAATCTCCTAATCGAAGATTGAAAAAAAATAGCCATACGATATTAAATGAAATATAAAAAAACAAAGAGATTCATTTAAACTTATTACTTGTATAATCATTAAAATAAATATAAACTCATCGCGTTTTTTATTGCATTTACACCCAGCATATATATGTATTGTCTTAAAAAATTGTATTATTTTGATTGGAAATAAATCTATGTAAATAAAAAAAAACGCGATGGGTTTATATTTATTTTGATAAATATAAAAGTAATAAGTTTAAATAAAAATCCGAATAAGATCTTCGACTGTGAAACCGACAAATGAACTATCCACAGTATCTAATCATTTCTGGCATACAACTATTTCTCCAATTAGTAAACATAATAGCAGAATAATAGGTACATTACCCAAAGCTCCATAAACTCCTCATTTTGGACACTTTTAACCAAAAAACTTTATTAAAAAACTAAGACTAAAACCAATCACTTTTGTTAACATAAATTAGTTAAAAACAAATGAATTAGGTTATGCGCACTTGCTCTGCACAATTCTTAAATCAAAGCATGCTATTGGTCAGCGATAAACGAGACGAGCCGAACACGTTCGAAAAAGTCCGAAAGCTTACTTTTTGCTTATAGATTAAAAAAGTGCATAACAAAAATAAATAAATTAAATTAAATATTAAAATTTAATACCATTGTTTTAATTTCATTAAATTGAAGCACAAATAGATATAAACAGATAGAATATTTACAAAGACTGTAGAAAGACCTCTCGAGAGTCTTCGATGAGACAAGAGTGAAATACGGTTCCTCTTAATGTAAAGCTTCGATGCTAATACATTTATATAAACTATTCAAAAAATCACTTTTAAGTAGAGTAATTATTTTAATAAATGTTGAAATAATAAAATTAAAGAACTTCTATTACTTTCTGGATAAGATCTTTGCTTTGTAAAATACAAGATGGCTTTGAAAGAAAAGTAAGGCAAGTAAACGAACTATCGTGTATCTTTAACCAATTTTTGCAAACAACTATTTCTAATAGCAATATAATATGTGCATTACCTAAAGCTCCATTAATTCCTCATTTTTGACACTTTTAACCATAAAATTTTGTTAAAAAACTACAAAACTAAAACCAATCACTTTTGTTAACATAAATTAGTTAAAAACAAATGAATTAGGTTAGGCGCACTTGCCCTGCACAATTCTTAAATCAAAGCATGCTATTGGTCAGTGATAAACGAAGGAAACCGAACACGTTCGATGTAGTCCGAAAGAGCTCATTTTTAATAATTTTTTTTTACAAAATTTTGCATCTTTTACCTTAATATTATTAAATTAGAAGCACAAATTTAGAAGTGTGTTAACAAAACACTCCTGTACCGAGCAAAAGAAATATATTTTAGTTTACAAAGACTTTAAGAGACTCCCAAGAGTCTTCAAAAAAAATGGCTCACTTGCTTCTAACCTAAAGTTTCGATATTAGTATTTTAATAGATATTATTTTAATAAATGTACAAGTTATAAAATTCAAAGTGTGTATCTATCTAGTGTTTCATTTACTTTCCTTGCTTAAGACAAAATACAACACGACTGTGATAAAGGCAAGTACCATTCACAATTTTTTTAAAACTATTTCTCTATCAAGCATAATAGTAAAATTATATGTACATTACCTAAAGCTCCTTAAACTCCGCATTTCTGATACTTTTAACCAAAAATTTTGTTAAAAAACTACAAAACTAAAACCAATCACTTTTGTTAACATAAATTAGTTAAAAACAAATGAATTAGGTTATGCGCACTTGCTCTGCACAATTCTTAAATCAAAGCATGCTATTGGTCGACGATAAACGAGACGAGCCGAACACGATCGAAAAAAGTC